ACTCTTGATGAATGCAATCAGATAAATTGAGTTACACGTCTTCACGAGCAGCTAGGAGTTGATTAACATTCATGTGCATTTGAGTGCGAATGAATGCACACGAAAATTAATCACCCCCTAGCTGCTCGTGGGGGGGTGGGGTGGATGGTTCATTAGGTTAATCTAATTGCATTCAGTGGCATGGGAGTCCGAGGGGGATTGCAGTTATGACATTCAAACCGCTGTTATCTTTCTGACATTTCACAGGTCATGTACGGCGAAGAATAGGACATATTATCTTTCCATCAATAAAAACGCCCACTTTGGTTTTATGTCGTCCAAATTGAAATGAAAGACTGAATATTGTGATAATTTTTTTTCGCTTGGAAAAAAAGTGTTTACAAAAAAAAAAAATAAATAAATAAATAAATAAAAAAAGTAATAATAATAAATAAAGAATAAAGTTACAATTGAGCAAGTACTTTAACCAAGTCATTGTCATCAAAACTGAGGAAATTTCAGAGTAATGTTTCAAATAGAATGATAATGCTACTATACTGCAACATAATTTGACACCAAAGTTCTGTTACATTATTTATATTTACGCTTATGTTGGTGATTTACACAATGGAGGGAAAAATGCAGATCAAACTTAATTGTACGACTAGAAATTTGAATAAAGAGCAAGTTTTAAGCATTTTATACTGCTGCCCGAGATATCAATTTCGAGTTGTCATTTCTTAATTATATTATATTTACAGGTAAATATTCTACTCCTAAGATAATTACCTGTAAAAAGCTGATACTACTAATTCGTACGTTTCATGGCATTAATTATTTCTTTCTATGTATTTCTATTTCTTTTAGTTAAAAAGTAACATGCCTTACCTCTTGCACTACTAACATATCCGCTATACCCCAACTGACGGCAGACAACTGCGGCGTCGTTGCTTCCCCATCCATAGTCACAAACACGCTTCCATACTCCGGCAAACTTTATCTCCACACGGCCACTGTTGTAGCCGTTACCATCCACCAGACGAAGTTGACCATCGCCGGCTAGAAAGGTATGGACACCAAAAAGCTTTTAATTAAAATTCCGATGTCTTTTGGGAGTGCCATGTATTTGGTAGTCATCTTTTAAACTAAGACAAGAACGGCACGAACAACCGCCACTCAACTCAATTGGTCCTGACCTAGATTATTAGAGTGAGTAACTTGGGGGGGGGGGGGATGGGGGATGGGGTGGTCTGTTATGGAGGTGACTGGTTTTTCGTCACAGTGAATATCGTGTAAGCAATCCGTTTTAATAGCCATGCAAGAAGACATTTATTTTCTTAATTTGACGTTGATCAGGCAGTGGCTTAATTATCCCTGGTGATGCATGGGCACTGCCTTATACTCACGCGCTTCACAGGCGACCCAAGCGTCCACGGCAGAGGTTGCCGAGCAGTACGTTGAACTGGGGTAGCCTATCCATCCATGAGTGCAGGCATCTAGTCTGCTTTCTGTACCGGCACAGTTTAACTGGTCTGAAAATATTTCCATTGCACAATGCAAAATCATTATTTAGAGGTTAATTTACAAATGAGCATACATTGATCTTTTAATAGGTGAAGTTTACATTGAGATAATGATTAAAATGTCGTGAATATTTCTTTGTCTGACTGTCAAACGCACCAGTCAGAGAGACAGCAGACAGGCAGACACACAAACACACACACACACACACACAGAGAGCGAGAGAGAGGCAGACAGCATTCTTAGCTTAACTCAGTCGGAAAGACAGACGGACAGGCAGACAAACAGTATCTAGCACTACCCAGACGGAGACAGACAGATATACACAAACAGTACCTATAGCACCAGTGAGTCGGAAGGACAGGCAAACCAACAGTACCAGCTAACACTATCCACTCAGAGACACAGGCTATTGGTGTATTTCTGTCAGTTTAACTATGGATGTATTTATGTCAGTTTAACTATGAATGTATTTATGTTAGATTTGCAGATATAAATATGGCTAAATGAGCACCCGTCTTGAGTTGTCTTGTCATGTCTTGTCTTGACTAGCTATGACTCTCTATGACGCCCTCTAATTGGTGTTTTGTCTCTGTTCCTTTGTTCTGTCTTCCCGCGTCTGTGTCATTTGTGACATCTCGGTGTATAAGACGTTTGGACTGGATTTCGAAAAGTACTGGGACAGCTGTTGATCTATCTGTATGTGGTAAGCAGGGGATGGTCTCGTCTATTCTAGTTCAATCTACGATCTGTTGTTCTATTTCATCTTTTACTTTTCAAACCGCTATACCACAGCGTTGTGTACATTCTAGTTTCCAGACTAAACCAGGTGTTGACATTACTCAATATAAAATGCCACTAAATTAAATCAGATTAAGTCGGGTTTAGCATACTTGTCAAAATGTAAATATTTTTTTTTTTCAAAGAGGTACATATCCAATTACAGTAACCACATAACTACATGAAGAAGCATAAGTTACTGTAACAGTAACCATAGTATATTTATTATTTGTTTAATGTGATTTTATCTCATTATTTTTCATCGTTTATTACAGGGTGAAAATTTTAATAATAATAATGATTAAAATAAATAAATTAATTTAACCACACCGAGTGTCAGTCTGTTACAGGGATATAAGGGTTTGAAATTCAGTCGAAAAGACAGACAGGCAGACAGACGAAGAAACAATACCTAGCACAACTCGGGAAGTCCCTCTCGGTGTCCAACTTGACCCGTAAGCCAGCATCCCACTGAAGCCAAGCTGTCTGCAGGTCACCTTGGCGTCGTTCAGTGACCACCAGTTTTCACACACTCTCCCCCAGCTACCTGCATAGAATATCTCCACTCGTCCATGATATTGTGAATCGCCGATCAATCTCACTTCTCCGTCATTGGCTGTAGGTAATGCAAAATGACAAACAACGAGTAAGGACATCATTGCACAAGTGTAAAGAAACTGAGGGTCTGTGTAACAGAAAGTCCGCTCTCCATTTAGTTATAATGGTTAGGGTAAACATGGCATAAGTTGGTCAAATTCTAGGGCGAGGTTTACCTGTACAAAATGAATGGGAAACACACTCTCTATTATGTGGGAGTTCTGTCACGATACACCAGTATTGAATGCTCTGCTCTCATAGGCATTACTACTAATTTATAACGACAAATAAATGCTACTCTGTGCTTCCTAAAATATTTACACTGTCGTCTACCACGGATACCCCCTTTTTAAACTACAGTTTTAACCGACTTTACAAAAGTAAAGTCGCATACTCTTTAGCTTAAGCAACAAGAATTGTGCGATTCTTTGTGTGACTGGAGGGGGGTATGTCCGGAACCACCTCTGAAATATACTCACGCCCTTTACACAGAACGCCGGCGTCATCTGACGAAGACTGGGAACAATAAGAGTTGCTGACGCCAACGCCGCTATGGGAACAATCTGCCAAGCGCGCCTCTGTTCCCTGGCAGTTCAAATTATGTATCCAGAATCGACCTGGTGTTTGAAAAGATAATTCGTGAAAATACTGACTTCACATGTTAACACAAGGCAACAGTCAATAACTAATTATGTAACTATGACCAAGATCGTCAGCGTCTTCCGAAAAAATTCTAATCTTGCAAAATCTCTGTTTCCCAACATTGTTTTCGTATGTGATTATTTTTCTGTAATAGGTAAAATAATCGGCGTTGTACTATCGGTTATTGCTGTGGTTCATTCACCAGTTCAAAAAAAAAAAAAAAAAAAAAAGCGCCGTGTTTCGTAAATTCGTAAATTAGCAAACATTTAGCAAACAATGACGCAGGTACACATTTTATGTTTGGTAATTATAATTATCTGGATACGCATATAAATTACAAATAACTGTTCAAATATTATAGCTCATGTGATTTAAGATTATACGATTTCTAAGTGTACTGATGCAAATCTAATTTATATTGATGTGACTTTATTTTCACCACACCTTTAATATACATAATTTATTATTTCTAAATATGCGATAGTGAATATTTCTTAAAAGTGTTAAGTGTTAAATATCCAAGCCAATGCCTTTTGTATTGAAATCACGTAATTAAACAATAAAGCATATCGAAAGATTCACGATGGAAGTTTTCAGGTAAGGCTTAAAATGTGTATACTCACTTGTCCCCCTAGGCGACATACTAAATAATCGCGTGTGGGCTCCGGTGAACCCAAGCTGTTTACACGCCACGTCAGCGCTAGTCAGGTCCCAGCCGTAGTCACAAACTCTCCCCCATCTCCCGGAATAGAAGATCTCCAAGCGACCTTCGTACGCATTTGATGTGTTAATAAGACGCAAAGCACCGTCACCGTCTGAAAGCATAATCAAAATACCATTCAAATGCCATACAAACATTTATTTCTTAAACTTCCTCATATCTGATACTCCGGTAAAAGTGATACACCAACCATTTACCTTAATGCTACAAAATATATACATGCTTTATGATGAGAAATGGGCTCAGAAATGTTTTGGATACCAGCTGGATTAAAGGGATGCCATAATAGAGACGAGTGGATGGTAGGTTAATTGCCACGTTTATAACTTAATGTTAAGTTACAGGACATAATAAAACAAAAACATGTATATGTAACGGTTTCTGAAGTCTAATTATTTTCTTAACGGATCAACCTTATAACTCACCTCCATGACATATTACCCCGGCATCGTCGTAATCACTTTGACCACAATTGCCGGAATTAACGACGCCAACGCCATTGTGGGTGCATTGGGTTATATTGGACTCTGTTCCTCCACAGTTTACATTATACACCCAGTATTTACCTGAACCAGAAAATAATGTAAACCATACAAAACACTTTTTAAAGAAAATGTAAATTAGCTATAAGCGCGATTTATAAATATATAAAGTCGTTATGTAATATGTGATTTGCTTTCTTCATGACTAATTTGAATGTATATTACCCAAACTAAAAAAAAAAAAAAAAAAAAAAAAAAAAAAACATATATCTCAACCTTCAATCAACTATAATAGATACAATAAGACATTTACATAGTGATGGACGAGCACGATTGTCGACACAACCGAGATCATATACACAACTTACCGGTGCCCCTAGGACTCCAGCCCCTAAAAGATGTATGAGCCCCAGCTAATCCAAGTTGCCTGCAAACCACCTTGGCATCACTGAAGCCCCAGTTGTAGTCACAAACACGCCCCCACTCCCCACCATAGTACACCTCAACACGGCCTTCGTAGGGGCTAGTTGTGTTCACCAGGCGAACTGCACCATCGCCAGCTACAAGGTAAAGGAGGACAGTTATTGTACCTCACTCAGTCAGAAAACAATGAAATTTCGCCGCTTTGGATGAGTTTGATTGTTTTGGGGATAACAGCTCTTCGTCTTAGATTCACATTTCACAATAAATACATTGTAAACAACTCATGGAAATATAATGAGCTATATGTTACCACCAAATTTGTGGTTGCCATCACACCTCGTGACCTTCAAAGATGGCTGACTTTGTAAAATGTTTTAAGAAGGTATTAAAAAAAAACTTAAATTGTGAAATGAAATAACTTTGGATCTCGGAATGGATTCATAAACCATGGGAAAATTGCCGTTTTCTCAAAGAAAATCCATTTTTGTCAAAATGTGCAGTCGTTTTCACTTTTAACAATTAGTAAATCTTGTCGTATTTTGTCCTTAATATTCATATCGGCATTTACGTACGTGCTTTACAGATGACTCCAGCATCGTCGTAGTCTCCGGTGCCACAGTAAGAGTTGATGGTGCCCCACCCTCGAGAAGAACAGTTGTACAAACCCTCTTCAGTTCCGGCACAATTGATGTCGGACAACCAATAGGATCCTGTACCTCTGGGGTTATAGTTGATATATGCTGTTGGAATACAGAATAGGACGTAAAGCTCAGTTTATTTTTATCTTAGGATCCGTTAATAATGGATTCATCGATTAAATTATTGTGCAACAACTCCATGTTGACTCTTGCTGAATGCAATCAGACTAATATGCATCCTGGCGTTGATTGAAATACATAAAAGCTGGCGATTATATGAGTATGTTGCAAACAAGATCGAGGCATGTTTTAATTCACCATTTCATTATTAATCTCTTTAATTCCGTTTTCTAAATTTCAGTCACAGTATATTGGAAGGCATATTTCCGTCTGGGTTTCCTTTGGTAAGCAACTATCGATTCACTAAATTATCGGTAATGTACTAGCAAACGTCATGGTCAGAAAAATTAGCAGAGTATATTATAATCCAAAACCATTGAGCCAGAAGAGCTTGATCACATAGTATATTGAGTAAGTGTTCGATAAGGTAAATCATAAGGTAATTTAAAAGGTAAGGTAAATTAAAATCTTAAGAAAAGGAAAATGATACTTACCCGTGTGGACATCTTCGTAGCCTAGCTGCTTGCAGGCAACTTTGGCGTCGTTAAGTCCCCACCCCTCCTCACACACCCTCCGCCACTCCCCGCTGTAGTAGATCTCCACACGTCCTTGGTACTGTGTGTCTCCATCTTGAAGGCGAATGTCTCCATCGGCTAGAAAAAATAGCAATAAAACAACATGCAGTAACATAATGGTTATTGCATTTGCCACCGCTATACAGATTTGACATTTAATATGGGACATTTCAGTTTCAAAGGTATACTTATGTTAATAAGCGTTCTTTTTTAGAAGAATGAACAAGTGTGGAGTCAGGTGTGTCGCTACCAATTAACTGACAACCATGTTTGCAGCGCTGCTGCATTGTGTAATATGCATTAATTTAATTGGGTAGGGCTATTTTGGGATGGTCAAAGTGTGTCTTTGGTGGTGCATTGTTCTGTCCAAAAAGTATCGCTATGTCGGAAGTTACCGGATAGAAGTTGGCATCCCGATGAGGTCATACGCAGTAGCGACCGTTTCAGAAATATCACAAAAACGTAAATGTCTTTCTACTTTGCACTTATAAAAAATGATTTGACTATATTCCGGTCCGACGCTCCTTGTTTATCAGAAATGTCACTTAAAAAAGTAGATTTGCCTTGGGACCTTTTTTACGTTTTGTGATATTTCTGACAACGAGGCAGTTTCGGAATATAATTAAAGTCAGACGGATGTTTATTACAAGTCCACAGGAGTAATAATTCTACGCTTTTGTGACATTTTTTACTACGAGGCGGTTTCGGAATACACATGTTCTGGTTTTCTGAGCATCCATATGCTACATGTAATTACAAGTCCAAAGGGGGAATAGATTAGATTTTTACCGATATTACTGATAAAGAGGAAAAATGAAAAGTTTAAAAACAAAAGGTAAATAACACAACCGTCGTTAAAATATTTTTTGTATGCACGTGTGGTTTAAATGTAAAATAATTCCTGTTTTCAAACCATACCCATGTGAAATATTTTTAATTTGTCTAGGTATATAACGCAAGCAAAGTCGCTATTCTCTTGATGCCAAAAGGTTGCATGTAAAGCTCTGTCTTCGGCTTTCAGCATTTTATACCCCCATCACACTAGAGTCGTAATAAGCAAGGATGCCGTCGGAAAGACAATTCTTTGTGCGTTCCTGGATATTCGAAGAGCATTCTAAAAATTCCGAGTGCATTCTAAATATTTTTACCCATTCTTGTGGCCGATCCGAATGTTTTGCTCATGTTAAAAACATTCGAAATGTATTCCAAGTGGAAAATTATCGAATGGCATTTGAATAGTATTCTAACTGCACTATGACTGCATTCCTGTGGCAAACATGTGAGATCAATACGGACCCAGTTTGATTTCGCATCTGTCGACTGAATTAAACGAGTTATTTTTTAATACATTATAACTTATCACTGGTAAATCGAAGCCATTCAACAGGGCTCTATGTACACATATGGTGACCTCATAGCAATACCTCCTGCTGATTAGTCTCTCCCAAAATTGTAATGTGGCAGTGCTGAGGACGTTTTGGATATCACTGAGAGGATTCAGAGGGTTAAATCAAGATGGACAGTAGTCCCTGCAAGGCAGAGTCACCCTAACAAATCAAATAACTCCTTAGCCTGAATAAGAGTTATTTCAAGAGTGGCTGATAAGCAAAAAGTGTGATGTTGAGTGGGCAGGGCATTCACTTGACTTGATCCTCCCCAGATTTTTGTATGTTGGTATCTCAAAGACAATTTGTGCCAGGACAACCCTCAAGTGATTGGTGAACTAAGGGGAGCAATCATAGCAAAAAATCAGGCAAATCCCGAAGGAGGAATGTTTGAAAAACAATTCGCAACGTATGTAAGTGTGCATCCAATCTCTTGGAGGCCAATTGGAGCATTTAAAAAATGTCGAAGAGACACAAAATACAACGTGTCAATTCCAACCATACTAAACTCTTTGACAGGTATAGTCGCATACACTGTGTTAAAAAGCCCTTTGCCTTCCTTAAATGTTTTTCAAAGAGATATCACTCTGACGACACTACTGAGACTGACACTACGATGCTATACTTCTTTCTGTAGAACACGTGAAACTTTGTCAGAGGTGGATGTCACTGATACGAAAATCAAATCAATAATTGATGACTTGTATAGCTCAAAGGCAACTGGTCCAGATGCTGTGACGATTAAAAATCCGTAAAGAGTATACATGCAAAGGCCATGCGTTATATTTGGATATTTTAAAATGACTTATCTCTCCTCTTATTGCTTTCTGTACGCCTATCACACATCGATACTTCAATCTTCTCCCCCTTCTGATATGCAAGACCCTTCAATCTGACCTTTGTAAGATAAAAATATGGTCCTCCGGGTGGAAACTTGAATTTAAGTATATTGGCACCCTTCACTCAAAATAAACCAAAATATTGCATATGATACATTTGTATAAGTTTATGGTGGCTAACAAGCTAAGGCATCGGATAAGTTATTTACCATCATAACGTATGTAACCTGCTAATAAACGTTCATCGCCGTTTTACACATTTTAATGTTAATCGGTTACATCGTTGGAAAAAAAAAAAAAAAAAAAAAAAAAAAAAAAAAACCGTCCCCTTATATACCATCTTTTTTATATGCAGTTTTCATTTTGATTGAAGTTAAAATATAGTTTTACTCACTTTGACCTTGGCTGTCTTCAGGACACCGTGAAATGACCAATAAGATAAAGAAAACCGTGTTCAACCGCCACATTTTCACCCCAGTCAGGTAACTATTACCTAACACGATTGCACCTGCGCATGACAATGTTTTGAAGGACCCCTATCTGGGTTGCATGGTAACTAGGTTAAAAGAAGGGAACGTCTTTTGTTGCATTACGCATGAAAAGCTATGAGTTATCGAGTTACATCAAGGCTTTTATCAGCAAATCTATTGGTGTGTGCCTGTTGGCATATTACTTACAAAGACGTCTTTTAAAATGTGTCACCCGAGTTAACCTAACAGTTAATAATCTTGTGGAAAAGAATCTTTTTGTGTGTGCGGTCGTGTTTGCACCATTAAATTAAATCTGTACTATATTTCTCCCCTGAAACTGTGTGAGCTCACTTCGGATAACAAGTGTGAAACCAGGCGGGCAAATCTCTTAATTTGTTATCAGAAGCCAAATGCGCATTAATATAAACATTTAAACAGAAAAAAAGTGAATTTTACAGCTTAGTTAACAGCATAAATGGAATCTTCAGAAAATAGAAAATTGGATCAGCAAAAGGAAGATGACAAATAACATAATACGGAAATATGTGGCACAGGTATTCATTGTGGATTGTACCGAGGCTGGGTCTTGCGTCTTAACGCACCAGAAAGAAATAATTCTCTACCGAAATGGAGACTGTGGTTTCTAAATATAGAACAATTTGTTAATACCACGCAAAATATACATATAATTCCTGTTTACAGATAGTATTGCATATGACATGTAAAACCACAAACATTAATTATAAACTAATTTAACCAAATTTAAATTATCTCTCTTGTTCTCTCTCTCTCTCTCACTCTCTCTCTCTCAGAACCATGGAATTATTACTATCTTGTTTGTTTCCATTTTTGGTCATTGAAATAAAGTTGAATTTCTATTAAATGTCAATATTTTTCTTTTGGAATTGAATTGAATTGAATGGTTAGGCAATATAATTATCTCTCTTATATCTAGGAAAATAAAATGAACATGAATGCAGAAATAAAGAAAAGCCATGTTCATTTATAGTGAGAGTATTTATTTATTTATTTATTTATTTATTTATTTATTTATTTGGATGCATGATGCTCATGTACACAGAATATAATCAACAGCAGTCTGGGCATCTGTCTTAAGAAATTGTCCGTTACATAGCATTATATTCCAGTTCAGTCATATAACGGTCTAGGCTTACTTCGCAGCTTAATTCTGTAACTGCATTTAAAGTAGCACCATACTTTCCACTATGACCAGGATTCAGTGGTTAGAGGGCCTACTCTTGTAACCTGCAGTCCCCACACAATATAAATACGACTATTTGCAATGGACATCCACATTAATGGACACGCGTTATTGTTGAGCAAAGGAAATATTTTCTTAAGAAATATATACAACGCAGCTAGTGCCGTGTATGACTTAAGTATTAAGGGCTAATGAACACACAGTTCGAATTTCAAGCAAATAACCCGAGGTTTGAGGTCCATTTAACCTAAAATGTATGCTTTCAAGATATTAAAAGACCATTTTTGTTATGAACAATAGCCAAGGAACGTTAAGTTTCTGACCCGCGTCTTACTTGTCCTAATCGGGTCACCTTAAATGTCATATAACCTAGGTTACTATGTAATACATGCTTCATCAGTCCTTTTTTTATCATCGTACACAAATACCTGTGTTCAATGACTGAATATCAAAATCGCGTTACTAACATATTTAGTTTGCCCACCAAGAAAACGGCTTTTGCACCATGGGTTTATAGCTTCATCAGAGTGTGTTGTTGAAATTATTTTCTTCTTGGATACAAATGACTTGAGCAAGAGGTTTTAAAAGAGAGTAAATGTCATTTTGTCGGGAAACTCATTGTGTAAAGACAGAGCAGCATTCACAACGTATATAGGATTGGCCTGTATTTTTACCACAGATATTCACACATCTACGGTGGATCCAGAGGAGGACAGTGTGAACGTGCTTATTCCATTGGCTATTAGACCCCATTCCCAGAGATTAGATCGATCCAACTAGATCTACCTAACTCCCTGGGGGTTCACGCTAAAAAGCTGTCAGCCGAGCGGGCACGAAAGTTAATTACCCCCTTACAGCTTGTAGTAGGCGGGACGGACATTTAAGCCGGATCATCTGACAGTAATCTAGTGAGACTCCCCACGGAGATAGATCTATCTAAAATCTATGGGAATGCGCCCTTAAAGTATGATCCCTCACTCCCATCTATAATAATAATAATAATAATAATAATAATAATAATAATAATAATAATAATAGCAAGGTAAGCAAAACAAAACCAAACAATATTTTATAACTGTGCCAAACATGTGACATCAAAATTGACTCGGTCTGATTTCGTATTTGCCGACTCAATCAAACGAGTTATTTTTTTAACAAATAA